AGAGATGAGGTCTCACCAAGTTGCCCAGGCTGGTCTCAAACCCATGAGCTCGGGTAAACCTCACCTCGGCCTCCCAAAGTGCTGGGTTTACGGGCTTGAGACACCATGCCCGGTCTAAATTTTAGCTTGTCTTTCTTTTTGTTGTTTTGCTAGGATGCTTTTTCCTTGATTTTTTTTATCAGCTTTTCTTTTCTTTTCTTTTTTTTTTGAGTCGGAGTCTCATCTGTCACCCAGGCTGGAGTGCAGTGGCACGCTCACAGCCACCACAGCCCCACCTGCTGGGCTCAGGTGATCCTTCCTCCTCAGCCTTCCAAGTAGCTGGAACTACAGGTGTGTGCCACCACACCCAGATAATTTTTTGATTTATTGTAGAGATGAGGTCTCACCATGTTGTCCAGGCTGGTCTTGAAACCATGGGCTCAGGCAATCCTCTCACTTCTTCCTCCCAAATTTCTGGGATTATAGGCGTGAGCCATTGTGCCAGATGTTGTATGTGCTTTCAAAAATCATTCATTCATTCATTTTTTTTAAAGAGACAGTGTCTCACTCTGTTGCCCAGGATGGAGTTCAGTGGTGTGATCATAGCCCACTGCAGCCTCAGACTCCTAGACTCAACCAATCCTCCTGCCTCAGCCTCCTGAACAGCCAGGATTACAGATGTATGCCAGCATGCCCAGCTAATTTTTCAATTTTTTTTGTAGAGTCAGGGTCTGACTATATTGCCCAGGTTGGTCTCAAACTCTTGGCCTCAAGTGATCTTTCCATCTCAGCCTTCCAAAGTGCTGGGTTTATAGGCATGAACCACGGACTGTATTTATTTATTTATTTATTTTTTGAGTTGGAGTCTCACTCTGTCGCCCAGACAGGAGTGCAGTGGCCGCTCCCGGCCACCGCAGCCTCGACCTGCTGGGCTCCGGCGATCCTTCCGCCTCAGCCTTCCGAGTAGCTAGAATCACAGGCACGCACTACCACGCCCAGCTGCTTTTTAAATTTATTGTAGAGATGAGGACTCGCTGCCCAGGCGGGTCTCGAACCCGCGGGCTCAGGCAATCCACTCACCTCAGCCTCCCAAAGGCGCGGGATTACAGGCTGAGCCACCGAGCCAGGTTTATTTATTTATTTTTAAAGGAATTGGCTCATAGGATTGTGGGGACAGGCAAGGTGGAAACCTGTAGGACAGGGCTTTGGGCTAGAAACTTGGGAAGGAGCTAATGCTGCAGTCTTGAGGAAGAATTTCTTCTCTTCCAGGAAACCTGCTTTTGCTCTTAAAGGCCTTCCACTGATTTGATAGATAGGCCCACCCACATTATGGAAGGTAATTAATCTCTTTTACTTAATCTCAGCTGATTGCAGATATTAACCAAGTCTATGAAATACGTGAACAGCAATATCTAGTGTTTGATTAAATATCTGGGTACCATGACTCAGCCAAGTTGACACCTAAAACTAACCCTCCCATGGTGATACGAGGAGAGGGTTGAGGAAAGCACCTGGGAAACCTCGATGTTGAAGAGAGGTAAGGAGAGGAGGGTGAGTCAGAGTCTGATGGCAAGGAGAACGAGAAACTGAGTAACAGCTGAGACAGCATGCCCACAGGAGTGGTTTCACTAGGGGTGGGTGGCAGAGTGGCTTGCAGTGGGTGAGCAGGACATGGGAGGCATGGGACTTAGCAGGCTCTTTCAAATATTTGATAATAAAGCAGGGCAAACTGAGGAGAAGCCGTTCGTTTTGGTTTGTGCTCTCTGTACTCTTTTTTTCTTTTCTTTTTGAGTCAGAGTCTCACTCTGTGGCCTAGGCTGGGGTGCGGTGGAACACTCATGGTTACCGCAGACTCGACCTGCTGGGCTCAGGCGATCTTTCTGCCTTAGCCTTCCAAGTAGCTGGGACCACAGACGTGTGCCACTCCGCTGGATTACTTTTTTGATTTATGGTAGGGACAAGGTCTCGCCAAGTTGCCCAGGCTGGTCTGGAACCCCTGTACTCAGGCAATCCTCTCGCGTCCACCCCCCAAAGTGCTGGGATTACAGGTGTGAGCCATGGTGCCCAGTGGTACTGTCTGCCTTCTAAGGAGAAGGAAGGAGCCAGCTGTGGGAGAAAGAGATGAAGTGGAAGAAAACAAACAGGGGCCTGGTGGCTGATCTCTCCCTCTGCAGACTAGCGGAGAGCTTCAGCCGTGGGACTGCCGAGGACGTGCAGCCTCTGTGTGGCCAGCCAGGTTTTTAGGGCAATGCTCTGGCCAAAGAAGGCAAGGACAGGATGAAGCTCTTCCTGGCCACCCCTGGTTCTTACTTAGTAGCGCCAGGCAATAGCTTAAAGTACCAGGAACACAGTGACACGGCCAAGTGCAAATACATGTGCTAGAGGAATTTTTAAATACTTTAAAAACAACAAAGTATTATGCGGGACATTCAGACCTTCCTTACACCTCTCTTGCGGATTACTATTGTTTTCATTTTGAGTTACATATTTAGGGAGGCACTATTTTTTCCCACATGTTGGGCCTCCAAGGGCTTCATCCAGCCCTACTCTCAGCCCTCTGCACTCATGCTTTTCAGAGCCCAAAGGATGTCGAGGTACAGGCTGGGGGACAGTGAGAGGTGTACGGGAAGGGCACGCTGAATCACAAAGGGTGGGTGTGCCTGCTTGAGTTTTTTTTGTGCTGCCTGAAAGCTCAAAACATGCTAGAACATGGAAAGAAAGGTATTTGCCTGAGTGACTAAGGCATGTTCCAGCATTTTCCCACAGGCTCCTGCACATCCCAAAATAACTGCAACCCTGGATCCTGCCCATTGGCATATTATTACATTTGTATAATGTTACAGAACAGTGGACGGATTGGCCGTACTCACGGAGGGGCTCGCAAGAATGCACAGCCCGCAACAGAGCTCTATGCTATGCTTCCTGCTGGGCTGTTAAGGGTCAAATAACAGGAGCAGAGACCACATCAGTAGCAAGCGCAGACTTCCAGAATCATCCAGACCACCAAGAGGGGCTTTGGGCAATGCCCACGTTTCATAGATGGGAAAGAAAGGTCCAGAGAAAGGAAATAGCTTGCCTTAAATCACATATTTGGGACTTACAAGGGGAAGTTGACAAAAGACCTGGCCCTAAACTCACATCTCCTGAAGATATTTATCTCTGAAGGAACACCAGTTTAACCTTAGAATCATAACATCTTAAGTGAAGGGACTTTTAAGCACCCTCTGGTCTCCAGGGTGCCTGTGTGCCACAGTCTGCACAACGCTGTGGGATGGGTCAGGATGAACTCGGTGCCCCTCAGGGGATTTATAGTCTTGCAGAGGAAATGACTAAGGACGTTGAAAAAACTGGGTGCTGGCAAGTAGACAGAAGGGTGCTGGCAGCTTTGGGGAAGTCTGGGAAGAAATGTGTGGTCCAAGTAGGAGAAGGTTTCACAAAAAAGTGGACCTCAAGGGTGGGAAAGCTATGGAAAGCAGGTAGGGAGGGCTACTGCAGACATCACAGGAAAAACCCCTGACACTCAGTAGACAGTAAGTAGATACGTCCCTCAAGTCCTACAGAGGCCAAGACAGTTATATTAGTAAGAGCCTTGCAGCTATCTCTATGCTCTGGCTCCATGCAAGGCCCAGGGGCCACCATCACAAGCCAGATAACCCCTGTCCTGCTGCCATTTTGCATCTAACTTGGATGACTGAGACTATTCCAACTAGAGAGCTATTTATTGATATTTAGTGATAAAAACACTATCAACCTAATCCAACAACCACTCAAGGAGTCTTAATGTTGTCTGAGGTCCATTGAATCCTCAAAAGAAGTGGTCACATTGTCTTTGGTTCATTTTTAAAATAGCTCATTAGGCTATTTTTTTTTTTCCTATTTACATGTTCGAGTTTCCAGAATCAGTGGCATGTCGGCTTGTACTCCCAAAATGAGTTCACCCAGGAATGATGTTGGCAGACTCCCATAGGAATGCCTTCAGCCTTTCTCAGCAAGCTATCAGTGGCAAGTACACCAGTGTATATTTTTGTGCAGCACCGTCAGTCACCAATATTAAACTCAATACAGTCATGAGAAATTCAGCTTAGGGGCTCTTAAGTCAGTACCCTGACGGGAGTTCCAAGATCTCAAGGTTTTCTTTTTCCTTTTCACTTTATTTGGCAAGCAGTTTAAAAAAAAAACCCAAAACCCAATTCTAGCACATCTTCACATTCTCAGGTTGTGGTCCTTCCCAAGCTTTAAAAAAACACTAGCATAGAAAGACGGATCTTTTACTCAGCGACTTGAGTGCACCTGGTCCCTAACCCCAGAGGCTTCTAGGAACCCAATCTGAAGAGATAAACCTCGTCCCAGTCTAGCTCGGTGACTCAGAGAAGTGTCAGATAAAGATGACCCTGACACGCTGAGAGCACATTTCCAACCCCCAGTGACCTGAACTCCACAAACACTTTGACCAGCCTTGGGCAATAGTGGGCACTGGCTTACCTGTGCACTTTTGAACCATCTCAGTCTCGTGCTGAGGCCTGAGGTCAGGTGGGTAGAAATGCTGCCTGAGTGACATCTTGGCTGCTAGCAGCCTGAAAGGGTGCAGCAGGTACATTCCCATTACCTGAGTCCAGAGCCCTGAGTCTTCCCAGGTTCTAGCTGTAATCTGAGACTGAAGAGTGACCAAGACAATACTTTTATAAACTGTGCCAGTAGAGACGTCAAAAAACTCAGAGAAAGTTTTTAAGTGTATCTGCCATTTATTCTGATTGAAGCCAGGGACAGACAACCTCAGTGTTGCCATTGGTATCAAAGGTTTAGAAATTGGCCGGGCATGGTAGCTCACACCTGTAATCCCAGCACTTTGAGGGTGAGACGGGAGGACTGCTTGAGCCCAGGAGTTCGAGACTAGCCTAGGCAACACAGCGAGACCTCAACTCTATTTCAAACACCAAAAAAAAAAACCACAAAAAAACGTTTTGAGTTGTATTGTTACTTTATTTTTCTTTTTGTAGAGTGTAGCATTAAAGTCATCCAACATACAGATATTCCTATGGCTCCTTACACATTTTATTCTATTTAAAGTTAGGTATTTTAATTATGAGTTGAAGAAAGTAATCCCATTAAAATGGCAACATTTCTGAAAAATGGGTTTCATATTTTTATGTGATAGGATATTGACTCCTCATCAACCCCCCAAAACCTCCTTCTGTCCAGAGCTGCGGGAAGATAGCTCACAACCATGGCTAACGTGGTGCCCATGCACAGAGGGCCCAAAAACAACAAGCAATGGGGGTTAAACTTCTGAAACAACAAACAACTTCTTTATTTGTACAGAGTAAGAATATGGAAGAAAAGCATCATTGTCCTTTTAGCCCTTTTATTAGTTTTTTGCCTCCACCCAAGTCACTGCGTACCAAGCGGCTATGAATAATAAAAACCAACTGACTTAAAGTCCCTGAAATGCATGCAACTTAAAATTCCCTAAAGCACACATCTGTTCCAAGTCTCTGAATCGGATTTTTTTTTTCCAACCAGCTCTTCTTACCAACAAGTCTGATTTTTATTGGGCAGAGACTATGGTGCTGCTGGGTTACCAGCAGTGTCTGTCGTGCTGCTGGGGTTTGAAGTTGCTGCTGCTTTGGCTTCTGGCTGCTGGGTTTCCGTTTGGGGATCTTCTCCATGCCCGGCACTCTTCTTCCCCTTGTGTGCTGCCGAGGCACCCATCTCCATGATTGCCTGCAGCGGCTGGTCGGCTTCAAGGCTACTGGGCTGGAGTTCATAGACCTGGACTTGACCCGGGACATCCACTGCTTTCTGTTCGAGTTTCTCCAAGATGGTCTGAACCTTTCTGACACCATCTCTCCTGGCCTGACGCACATCAGCTCGTCCTTCAGGGTCCACTGAATCCAGGGCCAGCAGTTCTTTGGTCAAATACTCTTCAATCGTCAGGTACTTTTTGTCAGTCTTCTTGCCTTCGAAGTTGTCTACAGCCTGCTCCAACCCTTGCACCTTCTCCAAGATGGCTTCGACTTGCAACACACCGGGATGTTTTGGGGGAGCCTCGGCATCTCCTGGTTTTGGGGGTGTGGCTTCTGCAGCAGCAGTGCTGGGGGCTGCCTTCTCTTCTGCAGCGACGTTCTTGGGGGAAGAGGGGACAGGAGAAGGGCCGGCGCTGGGAGAAGGACAAAGAACTGGAGCAGGTGGAACCTTGACTTCCACCTTCTCCGTGGGAGGTGGAGGCTTCTGGGAAACAGGTTTAGAATCTGCCTCCTTGCGGATCACTTGAATTGGAACGTGTCCAGGAAGGAGATCTGGTCCAACCGGGCCTGGCTTACTTTCTGGTTTGTTTTCAGGTTGGGGAACAGACGGAGAGTCTCGATGGGTCATAAGCTGCTGAGAAAAAGAGAAAAAAGACACAAAGATATTTTTAATCACTGTCTGAAAGTCACAGTTGCTTTGTAGCTAGCACATATTAGAAAGAAAATTGGGAAATGGCTTTTTAAAGAAAGTTTAGCAGTATAAAAGATTTTCAAAGTCAACCAGTGGCTGTTACAAAATAAAAACATCTTAATCATGTATGTGACCAAACCATTAGTTAGGCTTCCACTGATCTCCTTGGGTTATTTGTCTGTTAGGTCTCACACTGAATTTCTTTGTAGAGGGTATTCTTATGACAATGAGAGGAAAGCCAATATAATTTTCAAAAATGAAAACAGCAAAAACTCATGCTGCCTTGCTACACTAGGTCAGCTCAGAGCAGAGTACCGAGGGATTCTGACTCTCAGGTGATATTGCCACAGTCACTGCCTTTGGCCCTCCCCCTCCTTATGCTGTGTAGACAGTCTACGCATGGTGTGACTATCTCATCTCCTATTTCAGAAAAGATATGAGCGGTTTTTTTTAAAGCCTGTGACAGCCTAGTGGTTTCTGCCCAGACTGATGTGTTCTTTGAAAATAAGCAAGATGCTCAAAATAGTTAACCCTATAAAAATTTCACTTCAGGACATCTGTGCCAGAGCCCAACACTCAACTATGATGCAGCATTACTACACTGACCTCTAGCTGCGCATGACTGCAAGCTGTAGCCATATTTCCTTAAAATGAGCTGTGCTCAAAACAGAAATGTCTTGGCTCTTCTACCATGTAAGGGTAGCATTAAAGTCATCCAACATACAGATATATAAAACCTCTTTAAAAATCTCATAATCCTTATCTCATCAAACAGGAAATAAGATTTGAACTATATTATTTCTAAAGTACTCTCAATTTAAAATACTGAATTCCACCAAATGTTCAGTTAGGTCAAATTCTTGAAAGCCTTACAAAAGGGACCTGGGAACAAGCTGTAAAAGGAAGGTAATCACAAACAAGGTTAATGGGGGTGAAAGTAGATTAAATATTGGCCCACTAATCATGAGATATATATGGGAATGATACGTGGGACAAGATCTCCATCTCTCCAAGTGAGCACTTCCTTCCGAGGACGACTGAACTGAGGACTGCTGTCGAGTGACACTCGGCTGTGTTCACACCAGCAACCTCCTTTTCCATCACACCTCTTTTGCCAACCCAGAAGTCCTCCACTTTGGCCCTTATCAGTTCGCCACCCAACTTCATTCCCCTCTCTGGGTTTTAAAAACAAGGGCTGTGTCATCAGTGTTTAGGTGTTTGGGGTTAGAAATACCTAAGGTGCTTTATGGCTGTGCGCTTCAAAATGTCAAGGCCATGAAAGCAAAGAAAGGACCCAGGAACTGTTCTAGACAAAAGAAAGTCTAAAGAGAAGTGACATCTGCATGCAGTGCTCACAACCCTAGATTTGATCTTGGAACATATCCTGGAATGGGGGGAAATTGCTCAAAGGAGAATTGAAAATGGACTATATATTGGATAATACTACTATAAGAATGTTAAAGTTCATGAATCTGGTCATTCTACTGTGGTTATGAATGAGAATGTCTTTTCCTTAGGAAAATAGTTGCTGAAGTATTTAGGGGTAAAGGGACATGACATCTGCAACTAATTCTCAAACAGTCAAAAGACATAGCAATATAAGGGCGAGAAGGAGTGATAAAGCAAATGCAGCAAAATGTTAATAGTGAATTGGGCAAAGAGTATACAGGACTTCTTAGCATGATCCATATAACTCTTCTGTAAGGTTCAAATTATTTCCAAATAAAAAAGCTTTAAAAAGATTTAAAAGGAGGGTCCTCTGTTCCAAGACCCTGGACAGTATCACTGTCTGTAGTAAAAGAATATCCCATATTTGTTCACAGGGCTTTCCTTTTAAAAACTATGCCAAAGAACTAATTTGACTATTCAAGTTGCAGCCAGAGAGGGTCTAGGCCTGCTGAATCTTCTGCTGCTAAGCTACAAACTGCCCAAACTAAATGACTTCCTCCTTCAGGAACCAGCACCCTGTGCCTCCACTGGAGGGTGAGCAGACCTGGACCCACAACCTTCCCTAGACCAGGATGGCTTCCTATCTACCACAGTTGGCCGATGCATCAGCCAGGCAATATGGAACACAACTATGAAGAGAGGAGAAAGGCATAAGACATGTCCCCGTAGTCAGGTTCAGTTGAAGAGATAAAATGAACACTTATGAAATGCACAGAATAACACGTGCTGAACTGGAAGACACTCATACAAAGCACTGTGAGAAAGACATGTAGGCTTCAAGGAAGAGACGAGACCGGCTCATCCCCTGGAGGAGGGGGAGGACCTGGATTGCGCGGGCACTTTGAGAGTGAGCTGAACACGAGCAAAGGCACAGGGCTGGGAAGGAGCAGAGTGAACCTGTGGAGTGGAGGGAGGAAGGAGATGCGCTACCTGGAAGTCAGGAGGTGAGGATGGGGGTGTGAGGGGCCCTGTCAGGGTGTGGTGGCACTAAGGAATCCCAAGTGTGTGAGTTTTGTCAAGCTGTTTCTTCTGCCCCTGAGGCAGCCACAATGGAGAATGGGTTTCACAGCCTCAGGGCTCGACCTGTGTTTCTGTCGAAGACCAGCAGTTTCCCAAACCTCACTTTCCTCCAGTTTGTGCAGGTTAACTAGCTGGGAGAACCCAGAGCACTTGCAGAGCTCCTGGGTCCCCGAGAGATACCACCACGGCCAGTCTGTGGCCAACTAACTTCCCGTACCTGAGGCCTGTCGACTACGGTGTGTACACGGAGGGGCGACGGCGAGTGCACCGGCGTGCTGCCTCTGGCCGGCGAACCCTCCCGGCTTGATGCACCCCGGATGGGTGACCTGAATGGGGATGCTGCCCGTGGGGGCCGGGGCTCCCAGTCATCACCCTGGATCTTGTGGTACACAGGCTGGTGGGTCTGGTATTCACCCTGCTGAGCTGGGTAGTGGGTCTTCTGGGCTTGATGAAAAGCGGGCTGGGCTACTGGTCGGGTGATGTTCTGCTCGTGTATCACTGGGATGGGGATGTAGCCTCGGGGGAGCTGGTGACTGCCCAGGTTGCTCCTGCCAGAGGAGGGCAGGCTGGCTGAAGAGGATGAGGATGAGCAATCAGAGGCAGCTGGAGACTGGGACCGCTGCAAGAAACAAAGGGTAGAGGGTGTGGTCCCATGAGTGACTCCTTTGCCTTGGCTTTCCAGCCCCGCCTTCCTTTGTGCACCTGCTCTAGGCAGCCCGTTTCCTAAGACCTCCCATGTGTCATTTTCTGTTTTCTTTGAGTTGGAGTCTCACTCTGTCACCCAGACTGAAGTGCAGTGGCCGCTCCCGGCCACCGCAGTCTTGACCTGCTGGGCTCCGGCGATCCTTCCGCCTCAGCCTTCCAAGTAGCTGGAACTACAGGCACGCGTTACCATACCCGGCTAATTTTTTTGATTTATTGTAGAGATGAGGTCTCGCCAAGTTGCCCAGGCGGGTCTTGAACCTGTGGGCCCAGGTAATCCATTCACCTCAGCCTCCCAAAGGCACGGGATTACAGGCTGAGCCACCAAGCCTGGCTGTCATTTTCAATTTTCAAAATGTAGTATTAAGATTAAGAACTCGGCCGGGTGCAGTGGCTCAGCCTGTAATTCCAGCACTTTGGGAGGCCGAGGCGAGAGGATTGCCTGAGCCCAGGGGTTCGAGATCAGCCTGGGTAACTTGGTGAGACCTCATCTTTACAATAAATCACAAAAACTAGCCGGGCATGGTGGTATGCATCTGTAGTTCCAGCTACTTGGAAGGCTGAGGCAGAAGGATCGCCTAAGTCCAGCAGGTTGAGGCTGCAGTGGTCATGAGCATGCCACGGCACTCCAGACTGGGCGACAAGCGTGAGACTACAACTCAAAAAAAAAAACCAGATTAAGAACTCTAGGATCAAGAGGTTTAGGTTTAAATTCTTAGTAGTTCAATAGCTTTCTGGGCCTCATTTGAAATATAGAGAGTACCCTCCCCACATCGGGCCGTTGTAAAGATTATCTAAAATCATCTGTGTATAAGCTTCAGCACGAGTCCAACACACAGGAAGCATTTAGTACACTGTATCTGTTGTTATTACATACCATCTCACTTCCCCTTTCCATAAGTCTCTCTACCAGTCTACAGAGAACTCAGTCAAGCAACTGGAAGCTGCCGTATGTCCTCTATGTGACCAGTGGCAGGCCAAATCCCTTTCCCTTCTGGGCCGCCTTCTATTCACCTAGAAAATGAGGGCATTTCCCCAGCTGCTGTCTAAGGGTCTTGTTAGCTTAAATTTGCTAAGATTTTTCTGACTGATGTGTCATTTTGATTTTTGCAGCAAAATCATTACAAAGCTGGTACTCCTTCTTCAAGAAAGAAAACAGGCTCCCGGTATCCCACATAAACTATAACTTTTTACTCCCAAGCAAGTAGTGAAGCTAAACAAATTCAGATAGAGCTGAGAGGCAATCAACTATGGGTACAGACAGGAAATGAGAATTTGTGCTCAAGAACAACGCCAACAGATACAACGGGATGATCTGTAGATAGGAAAATGAAGAGGGCTTTACTGCTGAGGAATCCTATTAGAGATTTCTCAAATCTCAGTTAAGAACCAGATTAAGGCCGGGCTTGGTGGCTCAGCCTGTAATCCCAGCACTTTGGAAGGCCGAGATGAGTGGACTGCCTGAGCTCGTGGGTTCAAGACCCGCCTGGGCAACTTAGCGAGACCTCATCTCTACAATAGATAAAAAGTTAGGCGGGTGTGGTAGTGCACGCCGGTAGTTCCAGCTACTTGGAAGGTTGAGGCAGAAGGATTGCTGGAGCCTAGCAGGTCGAGGCTGCAGTGGCCGGGAGTGGCCACTGCACTCCAGTCTGGGAGACAGAATGAGACTCCAACTCAAAAAAAAAAAAAAGAATGATTTTTTAGCTATTACTGTACTGAATCCATCAACACATTCCTGAAACATTTGGTTTCAGGATTAAAACCCTAGCTTAAAGAAGCTGCGTTCCTGACTCTTTAGTCTGAATTTCCTTTTAAACTATCATACACTGTGAGGGCAGGTATGGGATCTCATTTTCTTTTTTAAAGACAGGGTCCCAGTCAGGCTTGATGGCTCAGACTGTAATCCCAGCGCTTTGGAGGCCGAGGTGAGTGGATTGCCTGAGCCTGTGGGTTTGAGACTCGCCTGGGGAACTTGACAGGACCTCATCTCTACAATAAATAAAAAATTAGCTGGGTGTGGTAGTGCGCACCTGTAGTTCCAGCTACTTGGAAGGTTGAGGCGGAAGGATTGCCGGAGCCCAGCAGTTCGAGGTTACAGTGGCTGGGAGCGGCCACTGCACTCCAGTCTGGGTGACAGAGTGAGACTCCAACTCAAAAAAAAAAAAAAAAAAAAAGGCAGTCCCACTTTGTCACCCAGGCTGGAGTACAGTGGTGCACTCATAGCTCATTGCAGCCTCAAACTCCTGAGGTTCAAGCGATTCTCCCACCTTGGCTTCCTGAGTTCTGGGGCCACAGGTAAGTGCCACCATGTCTGGCTAACTTATTTTTTATAGAGACAGGATCTCACTATATTGTTCAGGTTGGTCTTGAACCCCTGGCCTCAAGTGATTCTCTGCACCCAACCTGGGGTCTTATTTTCATATCAGTATAGCTTTGAGATGATTTACCTGTAAATACTGTGCCAAATGAAACAAGATACAGCTATTTCGGTGTTTCCGAAATAGAAAGCCCAGTGTGAATAAGGAGCACTGAAACTAGGAGCTGAGGGCCAGGCTTCTGGTCCCAGCTGTGCGACTTCTACCTGCATGTAACTGGACCAAGCCATTTACAGTTTATCCTTCTGAGCCTCCATTTCTAACTATAAAAATGAGCCATGCCCTGCCCACCTGAAAAACACCCCTATGAGACAGGGGAAGACATGTGGGCTGTCAACTTGTGTTTGCTGGGTGACCTCTGATAGTGCGGGCCAGGACCAGATGCCTTGCAAGCTAACAGGTACCTGGGCCAGGGCACTGTCCTCAGGGGCTGGAGACCAGCCCAAGAAACACAGCAGCTCACTCTCCCACAGGCCTGCAAGCCAGGCCTCTCCTTACCTCAGGTCCATGGGAGGCTGGAGGCTGGGCTGCCACAGCTGCTGCCACCTGTCCACACTGTTTATCTGGCTGGGTGGCTTCTGGCATGCCTCGTAGAGGTGACTGAGACCTCTGAGGAGCCACTGGGGCCGCCTCGGTTCGGAATCGCTGTGTCCCAGGCTGGGAATAGGCATGGAAGAGGTGTGGCTGCCGGTTCTCAGAGCCTTCATGGAGGACAGGAATGGGAATGTAGCCTGGTCGGAGCTGAGGGTACACAGGGTGGCCTTCCCTAGTGGGCAGCAGCCTGGAGCCCTCACGGGAAGGGCCGTTGGCAGAGGATAAGGTTTCCTGAAATAAAAAGAGAAGAAACACAGGCTGGTTAGAAACTGGGAAGAAAATATTCCTGAAGAGGAAACAATGTGGTGCTGAGCACTCTGATCCTTCTGAGCGATTTGGACCCTGAAGTGTCAGTCAGCTCCATGGCTCTATGCTTCTTCTAAGCCCTGCACCCCATGGAGGCTGCTGTTAACCGCAGTTTAAGAATTAGAGCATCAGCTGGGTGCAGTGGCTCACACCTGTAATCCCAGCACTTTGGGAGGCAGAGGTGAGAGGATGGCCTCAGTCCAGGAGTTGGAGACCAGCCTGGGCAACTTGGTGAGACCTTGTCTCTATGATACATCAAAAAATTAGCCAGGCGTGGTGGTGTGCACCTGTGGTTCCAGTTACTTGGAAGGCTGAGGTGGAAGGATCACCTGAGTCCAGCAGCTTGAGGCTGTGGTGGCCATGAGCATGCCACTGCACTCCAGCCTGGGCAATAGAGTGAGACTCCAACTCAAAAAAAAGAATTAGGGGCATCAGGAGAAAGCATGTGAGCCAAGGTATCTGTTGAGCACAGAAGTCCCAATTCCCCAAACTGGTAAGACAAGTTTCTTTCCTGGGTGACAAAGGGCAGCAGTGTACATAGGAGTGTTGCTGACTGTCTCCTAAATTTCCAGAGACCCAGATCAGAAGGTAATCCCAAGAAGTAGGATCAATTCCAACCACTAAACTATAGTAAGTCTCTCTGCTTCCAAAAGGCCTCAAATTTCCCAACCACACAGAGTTTGTATTGGGCCCAAACACAGAACATGGTTTGGAAATCTTTGCAGGCAAGTGAGGTTGGAGGGCAAGGGCTGCCTCCTCAGAAGTATTGTTAGAACAAGATGCAAGAAAGGGAAATACACAGGAATGTAGAAGCAGCACAGGATGGGAACAAAACCCAGGATTAACTGTGCTAGCCTTATAATGAAGATTCTTTGCTTGGCCAAACTTGATAAAGTCAGGCTTCTAAACCTTCTCCTAGGTCCATCTGTGCACTTCCTTGTAAAATCCAGTTTTAGCACTGCTAAGTCAGTTTTGCCAGAAGCCCCTGCCCTTGACATCCAGTTACCATTAATGTCTGATCAGGTTCCTCATCCTTCAGCACTCCCTGGATGGTGTCTGGTCACCCTGGCCTGTCTTCAGCAAGAATCCTATTACGTCCATTTAGCCAGAATCCCCTTACCCCTGATGTTTCCTGTTAGTCAATTTCTATTCACTGACCCCCACACTGTTCCTTAGCTATAAAATCCCACTTGCCCATGCTGTATTCGGAGTTGAGTCCAATCTCTCTACCCCACTGCAAGACCCTATTGCAGTGATCCCTATACCTTATCATGAGGTCCTGAATAAAGTCTTTCTTACTGTGCTTTAACAAGTATCACCGAGTAAATTTTTCTTTAACACAACAAAGCCTGCTTGGGTGATTAGCAGTTGGGGTCCCTCTCTTATAAGTCCTCTCATGAAATTCTCCCTTCAATGGCCTAGCTATTTTGGGACCCTTGAAAAGGCCAAGTTCCAGATGTACCATAAGAGAAGATCTTATTTCAGACAACAGGGCCAGCCAGTCACTCACTGAGCAATGCCATCTCTCACCAAACAGAGGTTCTGTCTCCTGAGCACTAGAGGGTCCTTTTATAGGAGGGGACCTATTGATCTGTGTGACTTATACCTATCTGAGTAGGTCAACTGTTAAGGAGAATGATCCTTCCTTAAGGAGGCATCTCTCTGAACAGCAAACAAATGCCAAAGGCTAACACTCTATGAGCTTGCAGGGAATTTCTACTGTTGCAAAATCAGCCAGACACTAAGCGCTAATCTGCATTTTGAGTGACTAGACCATTAATTTCGGGATGTTTCTATTTATATGCAGGCGTGTGCGCCAAGTGGCTGACCCTGAAATTTAGCCCTTTCAAGCCCATCATCAGCGGCCTCCCTCCTGCTGAGACCCTGTCCCTTGGAAGGCCTCCAGCACACAGGAAAGGCAAGGGTGTCACCATGTCCTTGGAGACAGGGGGAGACAGGCACTCTCAGATTAGAATACCCACGTGCTCAGGGCAGCAGCATTATGTTAGCCTGCTTAACTGTCAGGTCACCCAAGAGCAGGAGTGAGTCCAGGCCTCACATTCAGAACCGAATTCCTGCTGTGAGACAGGCACTGAAAGGAAGCCAGCAAGGGGCACTGAAGAAACTCTGCTTCTCAGTGTTGAGTCATAACATGCCTGTGGGCATTCTGTCCACTCACTGGGGCATCCTTCCTTCCAGCCAAAATTGGGCCCTGCGTAAGTCCTGCAGTCTCATTTTTGCTAGCTGCCCAGGGGGCTCATTTCTTCACAGTCATGCCCAAAAGTCTCAGCGATTTACACAATCCACATAGCAGAGCTGAGCAGTTAGCAAGCCCTTATACACCTGGGTGAACACCCTGTCACCACTCTCATGAGTCCTATCAGCAAGGCACAATCCCTGCCAACAAGGGGCTTGTAAGAAGGTTTAAGAATGCATGAAACAAACAAGAAGCAAAATTACTTGGGAAGCCCCAAGGTATGGGGGAAATGTATAGGCTTTTCTAGATAGAGGCTAGCCTAGACTGAATCTAAGTTGGAGTATTACCTCTATGAGTAACAGTTCTGTGAGCTTGGAAAATTCTCCTACCTCTGTAAGCCTCCATTTCCTCTTCTAAAAAATGGAGCTAGCAAGACCTGCCTTGTAGAAATATGAGTTTTTATAAGAGCACATTAAGAGGGATGCCCTCTGGAGGTCGGCAAAAAATACGAGTTGGTCCCCAAATGGACACAAATTATGCTCTTCAAATCCAGTGTCAAAAGAATCAAAGGTGAAGGACAAGGTTAATCAATGGATAGTGATTGAAGCCAGAATAGTGGTTACCTCTAGAGGAGATGGTAGCAGCTGGGAAGGGTCCTGAAAGAACCTTCTGAAGTGATGGAAATATTTTTTTTTTCTAGGTGGTAGTAAATGAGTATATACCTATGTAAAAATCCATTAAACTATACCCTTTCCTGGAACCCCCATACTGCCCATCTCCTGCCACATCCGACCCATACTATCTGGTTTTAACAGAGGAGAACCACTAACCTCAACCTCATCACCTCTCTAGCAGCTGGGCCCCTCAGGGCCTAGCTGAGGCGTGGCTTCTCTTGGGGGAAGCCCCTGTATCCAGAAGGCACTGAGCTGGCCTAACAAGAGTTGTGCATTTTATACAGCTCCCTGAACACATTTTACAGTTCAATTTTTTTTTGAGTCAGAATCTCACTCTGTCACCCAGGTTGGAGGGCAATGGCACACTCATGGCCACCTCAGCCTCAACCTGCTGGGCTCAGGTGATCCTTCCGCCTCAGCCTTCCAAGAAGCTGGAACTACAGGCGTGTGCCACTATGCCTGGCTAATTTTTTGATTTAGTGTAGAGACGAAGTCTTGCCATGTGGCCCAGGCTGGTCTTCAACCTGTTGCACCTCAATTAAAAGATACAAGGAAAGAAGAAAGGAAGGAGGGAGGAAAGAAGACAACCCTGCCTTCACAAGGGACCGTGACAGCACAGACTGCTTCCTGGAGCCAATATTCAACCGGTGTCTTTCCAGCACCAGTGAGGAAAGAATGTGCTTACTGTCGGCAGGGAACAGTGGTGTCAGAACAGCAGTCAGAAGGCAGAGCTTGAAAGGTGGCATGGAACTGAAGGAGACTGGGCTGAAGCCCAGGGGCTGAGCTGGAGTTAGGGACCGATGTCCACAGTTCCTGATAGTTCTGACCACCATGAGAGATGCTTCAGCAAGATGAGACAGAATGGAAAGGAGAAACTAGGACAAGGGAAGTGAGGGGGGATGTCAGGGAGGAGAGTGGGAAAGTGAATGCAACACAGTGCAGAGGACCTGGAGGGGAAGGGGGCGCCCAGAAACACGAGTTGGGAGGGAGAGAGGCTTGGACAAGACTCATGTCTGAGCATGGGGCCCAATGAAACATGCTACCACCAGCCGGCACAAGCCAGAAAGCAGGGATGGTTAGGACAGGCAAGAGCAGCCCATAGGCTGCTTCTCCTACAGTCCCGAGGTCTGTACTCCTGGGTCTGTGTGTATTAATGACCCACTGATATAATTTAATTAAAAAACCACATGTCTCTTTGTGAGCCTTGCATCTAAAAGAAATTCCCAGCTCCCCTTCCACTCTGGTAAGATTTTGTTCGAAAACCTTGCTTTAAGTAAGAAACAAAACAAACAAACAAACAAAAAAACACGTGAATTTTTCAAAATAGGTAATTAAATACTTCTACATGAATGAATAATTTAAACCAAAATGAAACTCCACCCATTATAAGGTGGAAATCCTGCTGCCACACCATCATTAGAGTCATGGCAGCTAATACTTCCATTTTTACTAAGTAAAAAACACTGCCTGGAAGAGTTAAATTGCCCTTTCTCTCCTTTATGGTGTTTTTGTCGTAACTGAGTAAAATAAAATAATCTAGTAAAAAATAATTTCATGAAAAAAGAGGAAAAAATGTGTAATATTTACGATTCCCCTAGAATATGACTAAAACATGTCTCTTCAATCCATTAAGTGTTCTCAGGTTCAAGCACAAGTTCAGAAGAAGCCTCTTGGTTCTCTCACTATTTGCCCTATCCTGACTTCCACGGGAACCTGGAATCTGTCTCCTCAGGGTTGGGGGCAGCTCTGTGTGATCATGTGATAGGGACCAGCACAACCATGGTGGCCAAGCAGATGACTGCCGATCCTTGCTGCCATATCATCATGGCCTGCCTGCAGCTCAGAGCTCATTATCCTTATCTTTGGGTAATGACATCAGGAATATATGTTATACAAAATCCAATTAGGAGCTAAGAGCCCAGAAGCTGAGTTCTGACTCACTGCTTATCTTGCTACAATGATGTATAAACTGAATTGGTTAATTCTTCCCCCTTGTTTGTAAATTGCATTAAAATCCTGAGGCATGTCTTAGAGCACCAAACAACTCCATGAGATGTTCAGGATAGAAAGCAGGAAAAAAATTACTCCAGATGAGCCAAAATTTGTCCTACTAAGTACAAGATATTATTACTAGAGAAAGCCTGAGGTTAGGTTCTAAGCTTTGGTGAGCTGTTGGGCTTGTTGCTTAATAGTATGTCTAAACTGTGCTATTGGTTTTTCACAGCAGGACAGTTAGGAAACCTGGGTAGACTGCGTTTGGTCCTAATCCTGGATCTGCGAAATGTCAAAAAGTGCAGACTCTAAGACTAACCCCATGAAGGTCTGATTCAGTAGGTGTGTGATGAAGCCCAAAGGACCACACTGAGAAACTGTGATTGAAAGTTCCTTCCATTACTGACACTCTCTGTGGCCTGATTCCAAAGTCCCTTCTAGTTCTCAATATCTATGCAAAACAAGGAAAAGTTAATGTCACAGAAATCTAAAAATGACCACTCTTAGCTACACTAAAATTATATCAGAAATCACTGGAACTCAGAGCACCTAAAGTTCCATGTCCCAAATGAAGAGGAGGAAGCTGCTGGCCCATTCACCCAAGGAGTTCTTACGCCTTAAAAGCAGGGTGGGAACAACGGCTTGTGGGAACCTGCTAGGTGTCTCCCTAGCTAGGTATACACAGGGCACACACACATCCATGGGACGGCCGTGGAGAAGAGTTTGCCTTGACCCACTCTGCATACTGGGAGGCTTATGAACCCTGAAAATGGGCCCCTTCTGTGAGTCCTAACTGTGGCTCCATGGTAACAGTGCTCTTTAAAAAATGGGCTCAACACCTACAAACCACAGCTCCCATCATTCTGATTTGAATTAAGGGTAACAGTAATAAAGGTAACTCTCAGGGCTGTCCCATAGCATTTCTGACATGACAGCCCTGGAGTCCTAAGTAGGACACAGATTCTATTAACTGGGTTTTTAGGCCAGAAGAGCCTTCACAGGGGTCAGGTGTTGAGTTTTCCTAACAATGCCTCAAAATTTCTAAAATAAAGAAAAAAGAAGAGGAAAACAGGAATCCTGGAACTCCCCATATGGCTAGGATCTGGATCAAAATTAAGTGGCTGGGCTCACCTCCTTCAGGCAATAAGAAAAGCATCCTTCTACAATACAAAATAAATAGACCTGAGCTTAAACAACCCACCAAAACTTTCTGCTTGGAATGACAGGCCGTATAAGTGAATTAAATATTACTGTTCATTCAATATGTTTTTAAAAATAGTCATTTGCATCCATATAGCCAAAGCCAAAAGTGCTTCAGTTCCCATTGGATCATGACATAGGGTCTCTTCCCTTCTCCCTAGCACTGTTTTGGGGATATAATAAACACTGGGAAATTCTGAATAATAAACTAAGTCTACATTTCACCAAAGTCCATTTATAGCACACCTGAGGAGTTAGGTTTCATCGTGGGACTCCTGAGAAGCCAAGAGGTCTGCGTTAGCCACACATTCTATAAGCAATCACGAGTTACAGGTCATTGGATGTTTTATCTGATAGCCTGTTATTAAAATTTATACATTTTATCTTGGGATTAATGAGATGGGTGTCCCTATGTGTTTCCACTGGGAAAATCTTTTTAGAAGATGAAACCAGCATTGCTTATCTTTGCACTTGTGTCCAAATAAACAGAAATAAACTTGCATGAGCCCTGGTCTTCAAGTTGCCACCCTGGGCTCCAGTCTCTTTCTGCTGCTCACCAGCCAAGTAGCCTCAGATAGAATTCCCTGCTACTAAGACTCAGTTTCCTCAGCTATAAAAACCTCCATACCTCCCAGGAGTTTTTACGAGATTCAAGTGGAATAAGCCAGGCGTCTTTTGTGAACTCTGATCTGCTCCTGAGACAATCACGTTCTTTCATTCCACAAGTAGTTCTTGACGGATCCAACTTTCCTCAAGCACCAGTTGGTTGCTTATTGGTTACAAAGCCTAATTCTTCATTGATCTCACCAAGTTGGTAATAAGTTGGTTTGAGCCGCGAGTCCCTTTATCTTGGAATCTTAAGAGGACTAATTAGCAAGAATGCTACTTTCTCTGCTGAAGACTGTATCAAAAGTTTCACAACCTGGAAGCAAACACAGTCAAAACCACTCTAGACACCTGGGCCCTAAACTCCTCTTCCTCCAACAGGCCCATCAGCGGCTTTGGGGAAGGGGCCTGCACTGCAGACACACCCACCACTGAGAAGCAACACCCACCGCACTCACTGGCTCCTTGCACACATTCCCCTGAGTCCCATGGGAGAAAAGGCAGGCCAGACTGTGGCACTGCCCAGGAACAGACAGAACATCTGCTGGTGGCCTCTCAACATCCTCAGAGTGTCCCTCACCAGAGTGCACACAAGTAGCCCCCAGGCCAGCCACCTGCTGGGTACTTCCCCAGTGGGAGGGAGTGTCCAGGACTCTGTCAGCATCCAGCCGACCCACCCCTGGAGGGCTCCTCAAGGATGCTAGGTAGGAGTGGGAGCTGGGATGTGGCCCAAGGTCACACAGGAAGTTAGCACAGCCAGGTCAAGTTGCTCCCTCTGAACTCACAGTTTCAAGCCCCTATCTCCTTTTCAGGAGAAAAAAAGAAAAAGAGCAGGGCCTCCTGCTTTAATCAATCTAAAGTCACAAATCACAGGTGGAAAAGTACTTGAAATTTCAATACCAGAAGGCAAACTGTCTGAATCTAGACAGAGACCAGGAAAAGAGACTTCCCAGCTGGTACATTTCCATGGATTTCTCAAGGACTTGTCTCATACTAAAAGTGAAAACTGCCCAATCACTTGGTGACACCATCTGCTAGACACCAATAGGGCAACTGTCTGGTTAGGTATCAGTGTGCAAGGCATCAGTAGAGACATATTTTGTACAGAATACAATTTCCTAAAAGAAAAAAAAATCTCTAACTCATCAACTGTCACTCAGACAAGGGGTCCCTCTCTTACTGAAGATGAGATCCTTGGGGGAATGAATCCCTGGGTCTCCACCCTCTTAGGTTGCTGTGGGAGGAATGCTTTGAGAAGGTGCTTAGGGAGGCATCTTCTGTGAACTCTAGGGGGGCTGGCAACTAGAAGAGCCCTCCCTCTCCTTCTCTCTGTGGTGACGTTACGCCCCTGAGGGCTGGGTCCAGAACTGCTGTGCAGACAACTGACCCCTCGGTTCCTTGGCAAGGTAGCTTGGCTTCCCCCAGCAAACTGGGTACCTAGCTCTTGCCTGGTACTGCCCTCCGGACTGCACAGACATGGCTGAGGGAGACCGTGCCCTTGGGGAGCCGGTGTTGAAGAGTACAAACAGTGCTCCATAAAGCATGGTGCAGGAAACAATTCCCCTGGCCTGCCTTGGGAGAGATCAGCAGATGAATCTACAGGCTCATGGGGCTGTGGGCCGTCAGTCTGGCAGAGCTTCCAGAAGGTCCATCAGCCTTCATCTGATCCCTATTACAGTCTATCTACATACTACTCTCCCAAGGGGGCACAGGAAGCCCCAGGGAGGGGTTCTGAGGGCCATCTGGACACTGATCAAGTGGGAATCAGCTAAACTTGGTATGAGGGGGATAAAAGGAGGTCTAGCTTCTAAGAAATAAGACTTCAGGTCTGAGAGCTGAAAGACCCATGTATAGCCAGGACAGTCTACTGTGTGAGGAAGCCAAACCCTTACCTGCGAACACCCTTCAACTCCACAGTGGAGGCTGTGGACGTTTCCAGGGGTGGCACATATGCATCAGTTCAGGCTCTGGACTAGTCACCTCCCATTACCATCTCCCTTGATTCTCCTACCCTGTTGGACAGGACTACGGCTATACCCACTTTATAGAAGGGGAGACTGAGGCTCGGGGAAGGCAAGTGATTTACCTAGGATCGCTAGAACCCATGGTAAGGCCAGGTATATGCTAACCTTTCTGCTACTCCTGCCACACCTGTGCACTGTGAGATAGCATTCATGTGTTACTAATGTCTCCAAAACCTTCATCTTTCCAGAGTAAAACATAGCAGGAGGGAAAGCATTTTATTTCACCCAGCCGAGCTGGGCTGAAGCTCAGACCTGGAACATTCAGTTCAAGTATGCTCTGGGTCAGAGAGCCAGCACTCTGTGCTGAGTCATCAGCCCAGCTGAGGCAGGGCAAGGGAGAGTGAGGGCACTCAGCTTAATTATGAGTCACTACAGCCCCAAGATTGCACCGAACGCCAAGCAGGGGGCACTGTCCGAACAGGGGCCCCTTTCTACCTAGGCAGGAGAGCAGATCCTGCGCTGATGCTGACAGTCTGTTGTAACGATCCAGAAGGTTCAACCCGTGAAGTGGCTGCTTTTTCTTCTGCACACGCAGGTGCTTGCCCATCCTCCCACTGTTTGGATTTTTAAACCATTCATTCACTTATTCATTCATTCAGCATCAAAGAAAAATAATTGAAAAAAATGTTATTTTACTTTAATGAACACTGAGGAAGTTATCTGGAAATAGGAAATGTTTGTTCTCCAACAGGATGCTGAGGAATTTCCAGTGGAAATTCACCCAAGCTCACTATGGCACAGCTCTGTTCCAGGAGCTCTTGGGCGGCTGAGCTGTTTACAGGCTCCTGACTCAGGCAGCAAGCAATCTGTGATTCCAGACTTTTCTGAACTGACAGTGAATAAGAAGCTTCCCGTGTACGGTATCTGATCTTACTGCCAGCCACGCACACAAAAGAACTTTTAGGGACTCCTTTCACAGTGCTGGGGTTGCTCTCTGTGCAGCTACGGATTAGTGGAGTCTAGCTGCCGCCAGCTCCCAACCTCTCCAGGCCTGTTGGAAGATGCTGCGTCATGGGGGGAACAAAACAGAGCTTCTCCAGACCCACAGGATGAACTTAGGGAATCAACACTAAAGTCCTCTGTGCAGAGAAGGCCATTCAGAAAGTGATAAAAAGAGCCGGGCTCGGTGGCTCAGCCTGTAATCCCGCGCCTTTGGGAGGCGAAGGTGAGTGGATCGCCTGAGCCCGCGGGTTCGAGACCCGCCTGGGCAGGTGAGACCTCATCTCTACAATAAATCAAAAAATCAGCTGGGCGTGGCAGCGCGTGCCTGTAATTCCGGCTACTCGGAAGGCTGAGGTGGAAGGATCACTGGAGCCCAGTAGGTCGAGGCTGCGGTGGCCGGGAGCGGCCATTGCACTCCAGCCTGGGCGACAGTGAGACTCCAACTCAAAAAAAAAAAGAAAGTGATAAAAAGGAACGGGCCTCCGGGGACCTTTAGGAACCTAGGACCACACTATAGTCCTTAGAAACCAGCAAGAGCCTCTCACGACACATACCCATCTACACTCATCAAGGGCAGCTTTACTTTACCCAGCCTGTACACTCTTGAGCCTAGGCTCATGTTCTGCCCTCCCCAAACAGAGGCATTTGTTCAATTTTTTTCTGAGTCTGTAGACCCTGCCAGGCACCGAGAGGCACAGGGATGTGACCTCAAGGCAAAGCAGAAAAGTGCTGAGCTTTGGAAAAAAGTTTTAAATTAAAGTAATATGAGCCGGGCTCGGTGGCTCAGCCTGTAATCCCACGCCTTTGGGAGGCTGAGGTGAGTGGATTGCCTGAGCCCATGGGTTCGA